GCAATATCTACCCCTTTCCCCCACCCCCCAGTCTCTGTCTCTTCCCCCTCCCTTCCCCTCACCCTTTACTATCAGATGCTGCTTGGGCTGTTTCCTCCTGGAGCATAACACATGGAAGCACTGTGCATGCTGGCCATGCAGCAGTCTCAGCACTGTTGACAGGCCAGGTAGGGGACAGAGTTTCCATGTACTCCGTGCTTGGGAGAGAACCCAGACTGAGTCAGAGCTGAGCTACGCCTGACAGGAAGGAGGGGGAAGAGGGAAGTGGAGGGAGCAGAAGCTGCAGAGGGGAAGCAGAGGGGGAACAATAGGTTACTTTGGGTTTGACTCTGGCCCCAATGCGAGCTCAGGGCCAGAGTCAGAGCCACAGCAGTTGCCTGCCACCACCTTCCACCTCTGTATGTGAATGTAAGACAAGGGGCTTTCCCCCCCATGCTGACTGGGGAAATAAACCCTCATCTTAGATTTGAGTAAATACAGTCCGCTCTTTTCCCCTTGTCAAGCTGTGCCTTTCAGGTTCTGTACTGCTGAGGAAGACCAGCCACCATTCCCACATGTACTGCGTCAGCATAATCAGGGTTATTTGCATTCTCACTTAGGTTACCTATGCACAACTACAAGAGTCAAATTGGTGCATTGATACAGAAACAAAACAACTCTTGAAATCAAATTTGCATGTTTCAAATGGTTATGAGCAATACTTTGAGGCAAAGATAGGAACACCCTAAGTTTCTGATATAACAGCACATTAATTAAATAAACTAGACTAAACTTCAACAAAGCACAGATTTACATATCTGAGAAACTACAGCTGTACATTTTCTAGTACTCTAAGTGGCAGAGGCAATTACATAAATAAATGCAGCATAATTATAAATAATTTCTTTTTATTGGTACTGCAATTTCTATTTATTCCTATGCTTTTCCATACATGATCCTCTAGTTCATCTTCCCTGTCCCATGCTCTGTATTAGAAATTTCAGTGGGATTTTTTGTATCCAACAGAATATTAAGCTGGTTGTTCTGCATTATGCTCTTCCTTAAGATGTCACTGACATGCTCCCCTAGGCACATTAAAAAACAATACTAACCTGAGCTATTGACTCTGGGTCCAGTGGTTTATGGTCATTGAAACTTGTGTACTGACCAGATGATGTTGATCTTCTAATTGGAGGGCTATCAATTTTCTTTAGTGAATCATGCCTATTAATGTTGGTAAGGCTGCCATGCCCAGGCCTACGTCTTCTCTCAGGACTATCTGCACTGAGGTTACGATTCTGAAGGAGGGCTCGAGGACTGCAGTGACTTCCAGTGTTGGGGGAACCTAGCTCCACTGATGAGTTGCTGAGGGTGTGTGGTGGATGTACAGGGCAGTGACCATCATTGGTTCTTCCGGGGCGTCTTTGAGGAGCTGGGGGTTCGGATCTCTTTCTTTGCCTGCACAAACATAGAAACCATAAAACAAGTTTGCATTATGAACACAAAGCATGTGAAGAAATCTTGGCGATGCATGAGTGAAGGAATAATTTGGTGGCTGAGAGGCAATGCAAACATACTGCTGTGTTCAGCTTACCTTCCTATATATATATCGGGATGACGATCAGTTGGAGAATTCATGTCCTTGGATGAGGATTTGTCCTCAGTTATTGGCCCACTGCTAGCTTCACTGTCAGCCTTCTGGCTCAGCGTATCTGAGAATGTATCATCCCTGAAAATATACTGAGAGGTCACTCTCAGGGGCAGAAGGCATCATGGCTTCTATCATCTTGTACCATTAAAAGTAAACAAAAGTGTCTCTGCAACCACCTTAACTCTTCCTAATAACCACTAACGCTTCTTTTTATTTCACTTGTGCCACCTCCTTAAACTTTAATTTGTAACAATTTCAGGTCATCTTTGAAGTGTGCCTAGCACACTTCTGAGTGCTGTAGAAAAATAAAAATACAAAGTGTACTTATCTAGCCGCAGTTACTCAGATGCTTAATGACAACAGTTGCTACAAGCAGAGGGTAAAACTAAAACAGTAAAGCAGCATACTCCTCCTTTTAACATAGTGGCACTGCTCCTAAAAATGATATAGCTGATTAGCCTACTGGCATTCTCTGATTCATGTATGACATTAAGAGAATTACTCCAGGGAAATGAAGCAAAGAATGTTCCATCCACATTAGAGACAAAATCTCCGTGTTGCTGAGCCCTCAAAACACTCCCATTTTTTTGCAGTTATCCTGCTACCCAACACATCCCAATAAAGTGCAGACATATTAAACCAGACATTTCTTACATATCCTGCACCACTATGTATTGGTGAGGTACAAGGCCATCAATTCCATTATGCCTTCCTTCCCACCAGTCTTCAGATGCTCGATGATATAGAAGTAAGGAAGCTCCTTTTTTGAAGGAGAGTTCTCGTACAGATCTTCCCATGTAGTCAAACTTAGCTATAGCTTCTATTGGTTCACATTCTAGGAGATAAAAAACATAAGATAAGATATCGTACTCCAGAACTGACTATCTGCTTCATTTTTTATAAAATGTGCTTACTGCATCCTTTGGATATTCATACTGAGTAACCAAATTGACAGAAGTCTGCCATGGCTGAGAGAGATTTCAAGCAGTGATCCTATCTCTGTGTGAGGGGCTCAGTCAGCAGTGCCCCAAGTGGAAAATAGCTAGGCCTGTTTTTAAAACCTCCCAAGAGAGAACAAGGAACCACCCAGCATACTCAACACTGAACATTTCAGTGTTTGAAAGATGGTGAAACTCATCTCCTTATGCAAGTTATTTTATGCATGTGGTAGAAGATAGCTGCAAGCTAGAAGGATCACCTATGGAGCACTGGGAAATCAAGTGAACAAGCAAAAGGTACAGGAAAGTGGTGCATTTTAATGATGGTAAATGGGAGAAACTTTGTATCATTAGCAATGAGAAAGAAATGAGGGATGGATAGGGGCTTCTTTAGCAATGGTAGGCATCTCCTGCCTGATGGGTCTGCTTCATGACTTTAGAATGCAGAAGTTGTGAGAAATTCAGAAAACATGTGGAAAGCACAAACTTAGTATAAACCTGTTTCACCAAACACAGTCTAGTTCTTGGATCTTGTGGCCACCTTTTATGCTCTAATTGTACAAATCAAATAAATACCCAACAGATCCAGCCCCTTCAGTATTACCTCTTGAGTGACAGAAATTCCCATATGGCATACAGCTGCTAATGGTAGTCTGCTACACCACCCTTTAGATGAGTGGTTTCTAACATTTTTAGACTCAAGACACCCCTCATTAGACACCATCACTTTTGTGAATTGACCAGCACCCATTTAAAAAGCTTCTTTATTTATTACAGGTCTTACCTCCTTGCAGAGGGGTCAGGCAGTGTGGGGCAGCAGAGCACCCAGGGAGGGAAAGCCTGATTCCACCCGTATCTCCTCACACCTGGAACCTGAGCCTGCCCTTCCCTGCTTATCTTTTCAGGGATAAGGGGTAGAGTGCCCGAGCACTCTGCCTGAGAATCACTGCTTTAGGTGGTTGTAAACGGCAAAAAACTATGTCTTCCTGTGCCCCAGTGGTCACTGGCTGCTGGAGTGGACCCTCATGCCTTTGTGCACCCACTCGTAAG